AGAGGATATTCGCCGAGTTGCGATAGTGAATCTAATTCCGTCTGTGAGCGAGTAGCGAAAAATCGCTGCTTTACTGGACGAGATGACTGCATTTGCTGTCATTTCTGGAAAACTTTAGCGCAACGACATTACAGTCGCAGCTGTCCGTGACATTTTTCGATATTGTGCTGGATAATTATGATGGCATGGAGAAATATCTGGCGGCCGACGCAAATATTATCGAATTTCCACGTTTTGAAAGTGGTCTAACTAAACTTCAAGCTGGGTTTGATAAAACTTGCAGCGAAATAGAAAAAGGCGTTAAGTCGTCTCCTAGTCACCTCGCAAGCTGACTCTCAAACAACACATTCCACCGCGACCATAATGCTGTCAAAGCGTAAACGTGCTGCCGATGTGCTCGATGAGAATATTAGTAAGAAAGTTCTCAAGTGCAGTGTACCACAGTCAAAATTTATCGATGCGAGTTGGATTCCACCTACGTCGGTAGCTGCGGAACGCTTTTTTTCTACAGTCAAGAGTACTGTGGGCTACTTGCGCAAAAGCATGAGTCAAGAAACTCTAGAAGTCATCATGTTCTTAAAACTCAACTGGGATTTAGTCACGCTTGTGGACAAATCTAAAGCGATTGTGCAGTCCAAAAGCAGCGATGATGCTGGCGGAGTGTAGATCAAAACAATATATTGCAATATACACCTCTTAGATTGTTAAGATTGCAATAATTGATTGTTTGAGATCCGAGACTACAATCAATATACAATCTATATTTCCACAGCCCTACTGGTTGGTCGCCCAGTAGTCCGTTCTTGGGCCTCAATTACACGAAAATTAATACTGTATAGCCGCCGGTAGAGGTAGCCGGAGCTCTCACTCTATTATATTCACGCAGATCCTCTTCCTCTCAACATGCCAACCTCTCAACCTGCTCCACCTACGGGCAAGAGCCTCTCTTCCCAACCCAACAATCACTAGAAGCTGGTCACTCTCGTCGCAACGCACTTCCCCGCTCGCCGTCCACTCATCACACGTCTGCAACTTGCCGGCACCCACACGCTTCGCCTTTCCAATACAGTCGTTTATCACATCCTGTGGCCGACCGTCCTACACAACATTCATCGTGTCACACCCACCTTCACAACATGCCGACCTTCGCTTTTCTATCTCTGCCCTTAATTCCGCCAAGCCGCGTTCCGCACTGCCGGCGCTCCCCGGCGCAAATCCCGACTGCTTGTGTGCTCCGACATTGGATTGACGATGAGCGGTTGGCGTGCGACGAAGAGGGAGGAACCTGCATGGAGGGTCCCATGCGAAGATCAAGTTGTAGAGTAGGTAGAAGGTTAGACAGTGGAGCTTAGCTAGGAGAGCTTTATGCGTGCGGTTGGCCGCATACCGTTCAGTAGAAATTTGGACAGGATCGATTCAGATAAAGCAAGACTTACTACGCGTGGGGATTTACGGTCCTACCCAACAGCAAGAAGGAGGTGTCCGATCGCTGGTGTACTGCGCCAATACGGGTCGGCGTGCGACAGGACGAGTAAAGCAAGTAAGGGCAGTGGCACGGAACGCCAGAATGAGATGCATAGAATGGCTGGGGTTCGTGGGTAGCGCCCGCGGGCCTCGAGGCATCCAGTTCTTGAGTTGTCTCGGCCGTGTGAGACGTTGGGCCTAGAGTGTGCGTGTATGCATCGTGCACATTGAAGGGTCCATGTCCAAAATTATGCATATTCGGATTTACGCGCACGAGGACGGGTCAACAGACCAACCCGAGGTTGCCGACTGCCAGAAGTGTCCTCTTCCATGCCGTCTCTGCTGGGGTTGACGAACTCTTGACTCCTCCGGCTTGGTTAGTGACCAGCGCCGGCGACACCATTCTCTAGCAAAAATGTTCGCCTGCTCCCCTCTGGTTGAATTTTGCAGCTTAGGAGCAAGTCAAGCCGACAATAACCTCGTGCGTTTAAACCTATTCTTGCATTCCGTGTACTATTCACTTTATCACAAATATAGTGATGTCTCGTGCCCTAACCTAGTAACAAACGTTTTATTGTTTTTATAGTCACTACTCTAAGATCTTGCACTGTGCAGTCTGGAGTGTTTATTCAGTGTCATGGTTATTACACAACCAAGGCTTGAAGACCGAACCTCTAGATGCCGTTCCACAAGAACGTGGCCAGCAGCTCAGCCCGATCACCGCGCCAGTGCTCATATGGCGCGCTAACTTGATTCTTCTTAGTTCAACTAGGGACGCAAGGCTAGCTTTACTTCATTTTCAATCTCATTCTCGATTTTTCCTGACAACAACAACTTCGAGTCTCAACACGTGACATTCAGTGCATTGTATTGTTTCAACACCACTCCACCAGAAGGAAATACATTTACTTGTTTTTGTTTTACGTATTAGTATCGTTGTTTCAAGCCACCTACCGTTCTGCAAAACTACTCCCAAATAGCATTGTTGACAGCAGCTCACATGCACAGGTTTCCGCAAAGTGACTTTGCGATATGGTTAAGTCTCTATCCCTCTCTCAATTATTTTGCTATTGATTAACCGTCCCCGTTTACAGTGCGTTTGAGTTCGTTTACCATTTTGCGATGAAATAAAGCACCATCATAATTATCTAATAGAACTTGTTGCATCCACTCACGGTTCGCTATCACCGCCAAACTTGTATTCTAACATTTT